GTGAAGTGTTTAAAGAAAGATCAGTCACAGTATTTATTCTGTGATCAATTAATAGAATACAGATTGCATTTGATATTGGACAGGATTACACTCTTGATTATGAAAAAAATCTACTAAAAACTCACCTGTTCCTTTCATTCTGAGATTCAGTTTGGTCACTAAAAGGTAAGAATGAAACATTTATACGTTCTGAAAAGCTTATGTCAAAATCTGAGCTAGTATTTCAACAGCCTGGTTCATACAACTGTACCTCTAATGGCCAGTAAGTGCATTAGCTTCTGTAGGAAAAGAAAATAATTTTAGGTCTCTTTTTCTATCAAGTGCAATTTCAAGAATATAATTATATTTTTAAATTTGTATTTTAAAAAATCCAAGCATTCCCCTAATCTCGGGTCAGAACATTCCTTTGCTTAACATATCAAGGTGAAGTACCTTTTTGTTTCTGTGTTCCTTAAATTAAAAGTGAAGTGCTGTGGTAGTTCTCTGTCTTGAAACAAAAGACAATCCACACTGTTCCCTGTGTGACCAACAAGCGAGCTGGACTATTCAGAACAAGTGGCCATCTGATCCCGAGACAATCCTTTACTGTGGGATGAACAAAACTTTTCTAGGCCACGTGTCCTGATCCGTATCTTTTATGTAATATCCAAAAACAACAGTGAATTATTTAATACCAAAATAATCACTCTAAGGAAGCTCAGAAGACAGCAATATCTACTTTTATAAGCCATAGAGATGAGTGTTTCTTCAGTATTTTATTCAACAAGCACATCAGCAATGAAATTTCCAAGAAAATCTACACACAGCTTCCCAGAAATAACAGTGCACATTTCCCTCCTTAGTTACCTTTAACCATCTGGTTTTCATATTCCCCAAGCAGCTTATCCAGGCTTTATTCCCCCCTCTGTAATTTTCACATTTTGATTAATTTAATAAATAATAGATTGCAAAGGTGATCCTAGAGAGAAATCCACATCTCAGCTCTGCTGCACAATTAAGTTCACTGGATGTCATCGTCATCAAAGAGATCTTCAAAATCTAGTCAGGAAAACAAGACAAAAATCAACCTCAGAATTTCAGTGTTACAAATGCACATGCAAGTACAGTATTTTTTCCTTGGATTAAGGACAGAAATAAAGGTGAATTCAGAGATAACTGCACCATCAGTTGTTAGAAATGTAGCATCAGGGTGATGATTTTGCAGATTAACAAATTGGGATTTCTGTTAAATACCCCTTCCCCAAAAGCATTTAATTGCTTTAAAGGTGTCAATAACATTTCTGTCTCAGAACACATCTCCCAGTAGTGAAATGGTTCCAGTCACATTTGGAATTACTCCTAACTACTCAGCCTTGCATCTTCTTTGTACACTGATCATAAACTAATCGCCTAACTGAACACAGTGTTTTTTCTTATAGAAGGCAATTTACAAGCACCTACAATGAACTGAGGATGAATCCTCATTTAGAAGAGCCCTAAACTACCAATGGAACACAATGCCACAGTGTGAGGATAGAAACTGATGGAAATAGCTCCTCCTGAATATGCTGGCTCCAACAGGGTGTCCCCACAACTGCTGAGAGAAGAACTGGATTTCACTCGTGTGTTCTACGTCTTGAGTAAAATGAGAAACATACTTTATTTTGGAATTAACAGCAGTTTGTGATATTAACACTGCCACTGCAAGATTTAATAAATCTTGTAAAACTCACTGTTGCAATGTGTAAATGCATTTCTTCAGAAGCATAAAAACCCCTTTAGCAACCAAGTGCAGCACAGTGTTGTATATTGTACCCCTGCGTGGCCTGATATGTAGCTGCTCTCTCAAAGCAGCTGTAAACACTTACATGCAGGCTGAGAGAATTGGGATTGTGCAGCCTGGAAAAGAGAAGGTTCAGGGTGGCCTAACTGCAGCTTTTCAGCACCGGAGGGAGCCTACAAAAAAGACTGAGCCTATTTACAAGGGCCTGATGGGGCAGCACAGGGGGGAGTGGCTTCAAACTGACAGGATGTAGGTTCAGACTTTGAAATAAATTCTTCCCTGTGAGGGGCGGTGAGGCACCGGAACAGATTATCCAGAGAAGCCCACATTTTTACACGCGTTTGCTCTGTTTAACATAAGCTATTCGTTATGCGAAGGGACCAGGATATTTCTCCTTGTATGGATTAACTCCCCGGAGAGGAAAACCCCGCGATGTAGCGCCGGCACCGGCGCTCCCCGAGATGTGCTCAGCGACAGGTTCAGCGGCCCCGGGCAGCCCGGCCGGCCTGCGGCCGCTCCGGGCACGGCGCTCCTCACCGTTGAAGAAGTCGGCGTGCACCGCTTTCTCGTTGGCCGCCAGGTCCATCAGCAGCCCCGTGCTTCCCCCTGCCTGCGAGAACAGCCGCTGAGCGCCTCCGCCCCGCGGCTCCGCGGCCGCGGCACCGGAGCGCCCGCCTCACCTCATCCAGGTCCACGTACGGGCCCGCTCCCTCAGGGAACATCTCGTCCACCGCCGGCTTCATGGCGGCCCCTCCGCGCCGTCACTTCCGCCCGCGCGCGGCCGCGCCCGCCCCGCGGCCATGGCGGTGGGGCGGCCTCCTGCTCACCCGCCCCGTCAGCATGGTGACAGCGATGGGGGCCGCCTCCTGCTCACCCGCCCCGTCAGCATGGTGACAGCGAGGGAGGCGG